GGGAAAGATTTTTTTTATACAGGGAACATGCAGCTATCCAGGTTCAGATGTGTCCAATATGCAATTTTCTCTTTTTCTGTAACCACACCTAGTAATGGGAGTTTAATTTTATGTCTTATTTAAAAGATATCAAACCTTCAAGGGGTGTACCCACTTAAATACTAGGCTAGGATTCCAGGTTGTTAGTAGTTTAGAGGAAAGGGTACTATAAATAGCACTTCCTGTAGCATGTGGCCTTTCCTACAAAGTAGTTTAGCTTTCCTTTTTTCATTTTCCTCCTTAAGTAGCCCTTACTTCCTGATTGGTGGACCATTATGCAGAAGTCATCCTGTTTGCCTGTTACCGGTGGTGGCTAAAATCAACAAAGAAGGAGCAACTGCTTGAAATACTCTGACATCTGCTCAGTGCCTTACAGGTTACTGGAACAGTGCTACAGTTCCAGGATTTAACCTACCTTTTACAATCTTTCAGAAAACTTCCTCGATCAAGTTTAATTAATATTTTATAAATAGGGGAAGAATAAAGCACTGTGAGATTGGACATTTTTACATGTACAAGTGCCGGATTGCCAGGTGTTTTGAAAAGTGCCTGGCGCTGCAACACTTGCAGTTGTATAAGTGGCAAAATGCGTGTCAGCTTGGAGAAAATGGCAGCAGCACGCTTTTAAACTAAAACACTTCAGATGTGCTTTAGTTCAAAAGCATACCACCGCTGTTTTCTCCATGCTGATGCGCACTCCGCCACTTACACAACTACAAGAGGCACAGCACGGTGCACATTAGCTTCGATTAATCAAGTCTGCTCCAAAGCAGCGGCTCTCTGGCGTATCCAAGAACTAAAAGGTATGTGTATAAATGCCCTAGAGACCCTATGGGGTCCCTGTGCACATAACATATAACACATAACAAAAAGTGAAGTGGAATGTTTCCAAAGGCACGTATGTTTGTAGAGCTGGCGCTCTGAAATGCTTCAAAGGTGTTTGCAACATTGCAAGACTTACTTCTGGCTGCAACCTGTGCAACCTCTTACATCTCCACAATAGAAAAGATTACAATTAATAATAGATGATAATTTATAAAAATGAAAACTTAATATTTATGAAAAATTAAAGGGAGAGAATAAACATTTTTGGGATTTCTTAAATAATGGAAAATGTCATTTTGTTCTCACAAACTTTCTCCTTTTTCTGTATAAAATTAATTATACTATTTTACCTAAAATTTAGATGTTCACTAGCCAGACTAGCAATGCATGCTTTCAATTTGAAGGTGGTTGATTAAAGAATGATAAATACACTGATAAGTAAAACCTCCATTGCTCAGGGTGGTTCTATGTGCACTCCACCCGTGGTAATCTCATATTGGCTTGTTTAATGCAATTAGATCCTGACCAAAGCCTAGCAAAATCAATGAGCATTTTTAAATTAATTTAAATGGGCTTTGGATCAGGACCCAAGCATAGCTCCAGACATTGGACCTTTTTCTTGAGACAGAGGTTAAAGGCAAACAAATGAATCAAAGACTTTAATAAGTGTATTAAAAGAAAACTAGCTCAAGGTATAAATTAGACATAGTTAAATTTACTAAATGACCTGGATTTGTTCTGACTTGTTCTTTAGTATGTTTGAAGTCCGAAAGTGCTGTAGCATTTCTTCAGAACATATTGCTGGATTACAACTATACACTACTGACAACAGACATCTCCCCTATATGGAACTGTTTTAAAATGTTCTACTAAATAAAAGTTTTGTTCATTTAAAAAGATAATAAAAGTGTTAATTAATTGATGGTTGAAAAATGCTACCTTTGCTGAGATATGCATAGAAACACTCAGATAATTAGTTTAACTTTTTTTATAATGCATTAAAATAATCTAAATGTATTCAAAACAACTCTATATAGGAAAAAACTGTAAATGTCAGTAAATGTCATACTTACTCATTAGTTCTGTTTAAATTCTGTAAATGTCAGAATTACCCTGATGGTCTGTAATCAAAACTTACTGGGAGGAGAAATTAAAAAGTTGTGCAAGCGGGAGTCAAAGGTTGCAGTTTCTGTTGTTATAGTTTGTATATTACTAACTGTAATTTTTGTAGAGGTACACAAGATGAAAATCCGTTCTTGCAGTAGTAAAGTGGATCCTAGTTTTATCATTTGTTCTTCCTGTCGGCAAGGCACTCCCACTGGCATCTCTGGGAATTGTGCACAGGTTGTAAGAAAAAAGCTGAGATCTAGTGGTTTCTGGATTACCTCCTTTCCAATTACCTGTCATGTCGGATGATGGGTGTAGGCAGCACACATGTAAGAAGCCATCCAAACTCAGCCAGTGTGTGTAGCAAAGGTCCATAATCTGTTTTGATTTCATATCCCTATATTATAAGTACAAAAAAGTATTAAGAGCACTTTTACTAAGGTAAGAGAGGCAACAGCAATTGTTTTAAGACCTGAAGCTAAGGATTGTCGAGAGGACATGAGAGGACAGAGTGAGAGTTTTCCACCAGTGATTCTCTAATGGAAGAAAGCAACACTGACAAGATCCCTGCAGGGCAAAGCACGGTCAAGAAGCTAGAGGCTAAATTGATTCAATCTTTGCAGGTTAGTTTAAGCTACGTAGATTGAACTGATAAGCAAGTGAACAGATATTCACTTTTGATTTCAGAAATGCAACCACATGCCTACAGTGGGCCAGGCCAGAGCACGCCTCCCTGCTCAGCTGGAGCACATAGCTTGGGGCAAGGCTGGCCTACCCACACTTCGAGGTGGGGGTTTGCAGGGGAGGTGCAAAGTATCCTGGGATCATAGAATCACAGAAAATTAGGATTGGAAGGGACCTCAGGAGGTCATTTAGTCCAACCCTCTGCTCAAAGTAGGACCATCTCCAAACTAGATCATCCCAGCCAAGGCTTTGTCTAGCCGGGTCTTAAAAACGTCCAAGGATGGAGAATCCACAACCTCTCTGGGTAACCTGTTCCAGCATTTTACTACCCTCCTAGTGAGAAAATTCTTCCTAATATCTAACCTAAACTTTTCTCGATTCAACTTGAAACCGTTGCTCCTTGTTCTGTCATCTGCCACCACTGAATACTGGGGGACTGAGTTCACTTGAATCTGGAGTGGATCTGGGACAGAAGTTCAATAAACCAATTTAACTTAAATCAGTTAAATCTGATACTACATGCATCCAGGTTTATCATACACCAGTTTCAGCCATTTCGATAGCAGTTTACGTGAACTGAAATTCTGCTGTGTTATAGATCTGAATCAATTTCTGAACACTGATTACATAACGGTGTATGTGTAATTTCTGTCCCTAGCCCTGGAGGGCAGCAGGAGAGGCACAGCCAGACTGCAGTAGGAAAACAAAGAGAGCGGTTGAGCTGTTTGGTTCTACATCTCTCTGCCACCCAGGTGCCTCTTTGCAGCCAGGATTGGGTGTGTGATTAAGTGTCCAAGGCCTCTGGCTCTCTGCAGGCAAGTAGCTATTAAGCCAGAAATTTTTTTTTTTGTGAGGTTTTTACTTTTTGTCCTTAGTTGGGTGAACATTGTTTTTCCAAACTTTGACATTTTCTGCAGAATTCAATTACCCTAGAGTAATGACTAATTACTGCTTATTTTTATGCACTTTAGTATGAAAGCAACAGAGCTACACTTGCTTAAAACTATGACTGAATTGGTCCCAAATCTGTAAATCTGCATATCTGCTTGTACGCATAAAGGAAAGATTTCAAGTAATATTTCCTCAAAGGTACATGTATGTGCCTCTTTTCAGATCAATAATTTGATAAATTTCTTTAAAAAATAATAATAAAACATTGGTAACAACATGATGTTTAGCTTAAGTAATATAAACAAATAAAATCTTTTTTAGCAAGTGTAAAACATTATTTTTTCACATAGTTTTGTAGGTATTTGATCACAAACACAAATTCATTATTCAAGTTTATACTTTCAGTGATAGTCCTATTTATGAAAGATGATTACAATACTGTATCCTAAACTTGTATCTAATTTCAATATGAACAGACTAAGGAAAAAACAACACAAAAAGTAAACTTCTCTGGAAACAATGAATTACCTCAATGACTGTCCATTGTTCTACAACTATTGCATCATTTCCTTTCCTGTTAGAACCTGGAATTCCTGAACCTTCTTCTTCATATAAAAAAAAACCTTCTATAGATTTAGGCAAGTGGTCTCCTGTAGAAACAAGGACACATTTAGATGGACTGTAAAAATTTAGGCCACATACTAAAAGATGTCTGCAATGGCTTAACTTTACAGACTGCGAATAATCCTTGGAAGTCAAGTTATCCAAGACATCAAATTACTTCAGTTTAATGTCTTTGTTTCTGGTTGTCTCAATCACAGTTCAGAGACTATTAAGTCAAATTATTAAACAAAAACATATTTTCTGTGTTTTTCAGTAAGCAAGCTATTAACAAAAGGCAGGTTTCTACATTAGTAAAAGTATTAGCAAGCAAATGACATACTTAAATATTAACTTCTATTTCTTATACATGAGAAAATTATCTACTGTTTATGTAGCACATAAATACAGAAACTCCATACTCAATTTTTAAATGATACAGGTATGACCACAAACAGTTATTGGAAAGGGGAGAGGATTAAAGGAAAAATTGAGCATAAATTGCAATGTCTAGCCACAGTTAACCTAAAACCCCCCAAACACCTATATGGCCACGGGAAGAACCTGAAACAGAAATAATTGTAGAAGGATGCCTGATGGGAAGGAAGTTTCAGAGAGCACCTCCCTGACTTACTTCTTGACACTATCCAGCTAGCCAAAACTAAAGCTGTGCACCATATCATGGTTCATTTTCTGTCTTTGATAGCATACTGCAATTCCTAAGAGTCATCTGCAAGCTGTTTGTGCAGTTGTTCCTTAGTAGCTGAGAATCTTAAAAACTAAAAAAAACCCAACAACTACATTTAAAGAGAAAGTAGAAATACTATAAGAATATCAGTTTTTAATCCTCTCCAGCATGCCATGAATATAAGAAGACTGGTTCTGTGACATAACTTACAGCTATGCAGAAATACTATTTCTTTTTCTGTAAAGTAAATAAATAAATAAATAAAAAGTTTTATAATTAGTCTAACTCAGAATTTTACCAGATGGGAATACATTTTCTAAATAAGGTATGGATTCCAACTTCTCAAACATCTGTTTTCTAATGCCAAGTATTGAGACATAACATTTACTTCTTTTGGGTCTGTATTTATAAAAAATAATATTTGTTTCTGGAGATATAGATATTTAAAACCAATCATTTACATGCACATATGCCTATCATGCAGATATAGAAAAAGAAGGAGACATAATATTTTATTTTTACACATGCACTGAGATAATATGGTTAAGTCTGCAAATATAAAATGAGTGCATAACACATTTTTATTATTGTTTGTAACAGCTCAATTCTGTAATTCAATTTACAAAACTTATTTTAAGGTATCAGGAAGGCACTTGAAATAATTTCTTAAAGGTTAAAATATTTCCTACTTTATCGTTGTTATAAGCGGGTGAAATAGGTCTCTGTTGAAATATGTAGAAAATAAAATCACCATTTTTTTAAATCACCCCTCCATCAGACTTGCTTGAATACTCAACACCAGCACTGCCTTTTTGGACACCGTGATCAATATCCAAGATGGTAAAATTCAAACCACCATATATAAGAAACCCATGGACCAACGTACATATCTACACAGAACCAGCAGTCACCCTAAACACACCAAGGAAGCTGTAATATAAAGTCAAGCTCTCCGATATCACTGAATTTGCAGCGAGGTGAATACCTGCGACTGCCACCTCACAAATCTCAAAAAGGCCTTCAGCTAACAAGGATACTCCTCTGGAGAGATAGATCACACTTTTGAAAGAGCCACCTGGATACCACGTGAAGATTTGCTGCAGTACAAAAAGACAATTCCCTACAAACTGCATACCATTAAGTTATGACATATCACCCTTCCCTGGAACCTACATGGAAAATCCTCAAACAATTGCAACCCATACTAGAAGAAGACTCCTCTCTTAAAAGAGATCTTTTCAGAACCATCCATCCTAGCCTTCAGACAAGCACTGAACCTTGCTAACCTCATCACTAGACACAAACTCCATGTGACCAAAACCACACCAAGTGGATCCAGACCATGCCAAGACAAGAAATGCAAAACCTGCCAACACATGTTCACCACCCCCACCCCCACAATAACTTCACCCCACAACAGAACCATCATCATTCCTGGATCTTACAGCTGCACCTCCAGAAATGTTATACATCTCATCCAGTGCACCAAATGCCCTAATGGAAAATATGTTGAAGAAACCAAACAACAACTGGACACCAGAATGAACGCACACCAAAAATCTATCAAAAACAAGAATACCCAACTACTTGTGGGGGCACACTTCTCACAGGACCATCATTTCCTCTCCAATCTGTCAGTTCTAATCCTCAGAGGGAACTTACAAAACACCTTCCGTAGACAAGCCTACGAACTTCGTTTCATAAATCTACTGGATACAAAAAATCACGGACCTAATGCAGACATTGGTTTTATGACACATGATACAACCTGCCTGACATCTGATTCTACAGGTACCTGCCTGACCTATCCTCTTACATTCTTCTTACCCCCCATCTTTTCTCCCTTCCCCTCCCCTACTTTTCTGCCCTTTGTCTCCCTGATTTCCTATTTCCTTCTTCATTGAGAGCCTCTTTCTTACCCCATATTATTACCTCTACAACATTTCCCTTTGCCCTTCCCCCACACCTGCTTTCTTCCTCCTCCCTCTCCTGCTTTACCTTTTGTTTCTCCTGTCTACCTATGTATATTTTCACTACACCCTCTCACACTTTGTGCTTCTCTCTTTCCTGTTTTCCTGATCTTCACCTACAGCCTCTTTTGCACCTTGTATTCTATCACTGTAATGTCTCCCTTTAGCCTTTTTTCCCCTGCTCCCTTCCCTGTTCCCTCTCTGCTTTACTTCTCTGTTTTACCTTTTGTCTAATTTCTACCTAGTTACATTCTCACTGACATCCTGCCACACTTTTAGCTTCTCTCATTTCTTGGAGTCTCAGAACAGTAGATGCTCCCTATGCCTGAAGGGTGACTGTGCCCAAAAGCTTGCTAAGAACTTTTTTCCAACTACTCAGTTGGTCTAATAAAAGATATCACATCTACTCAAAGAACCTTGTCTGACCATTTTTATTATCACATTCATAAAACATACAGGGTTAAATTAATCCCTTTTGAAACTCCATCAACTTCAATGGACTCACAGATGAACTGAATTTGACCCCTTTGTCCACCCTGTCTATGATACTTGTTTACGATTTCTATTACTAGTACCCAAAACCAATTTGAGATCTGGGCTATTTTCTTAAAAACATAATTTCACGTTATTATCAGCTGAATACTTTGTACTTCAAGAAAGCTGATACGTAAGCTATTTCAGAACCCCCGCCCCCCCCCCGCCCCATTTGGATTTTTAAAGATATATGCCTACTTTGCTAGTACATTTGGTGGTGCTATCTCTTATTCTCTCACTCTTACTTTTTATTTTATTTTGCCTTTTAAAACAGAAAACCCTTTTTGGTAGGAATTGTGTTTGTAGAGAATTTTAGGCAATCCTGTATTATAAATCAACAATATTGATCAAGTCCAACCAGTTGCAGAAATAATCTTCTGCCACAGGCCCTATGTAGGTTACAAAAAATCATTTGATCTAAGAACAGTTATTTTCAGAAGCTATGAGTACAAAATTTGTCAGTATTTTATTAAAGTGACTTAACTATACTCCTAATTTTAAAGCAAAAGATTGTGTAATTAACATTGATCCATAAGAAAATACAATGCAAACCTGTTGGCTGTTGCCAATTTAGTTTTTTTATTGGCAGAAAACTTAGCTATAGAAATTTACCAGCTAAGCTGTCTTTTTATATCTAGTGAGGGGAAACGGTAACATTTCTTTTTTTGTCTGGGCAATTTAATATCCTGATAGAACCCAGAAAATAAAGATAATATTTCATTTTCTAAGCAACTCTCATTTTTTTTGATTCCTAACACCAAAGAATCAACCCTGTCAACATTTTATTTTTCTGTTTCTTAGCTTTCTTGGAGACCAAAATTGTCAACTAATTACATTATTCTTTTAGATAGGCCACAAGAACCAAATCAGTCAAGAAAGAACCCATTAGCTAACGACAGCTGTAGCTCTTTCTCAGGTTACTGACACTTGATTGACTGGAGAAACCCTCACCCACAAATTGGGTTGTTTCTTTAAATGTGTGCAATGTAATCCAGCATTGTCATACCCAAGATCCCAATTGCCAGCAAGGCTGGGTAGTATCAGAGGCACTATGGAATGCCTATAAAAGACACTCCCTGTGTTAAATATAGAAAAGTTCTTTGTAAAGAAGAAATGGTAGACACAGAGCATGGGAGACTTGCAAAACTTCTGTTGGCCAACAGCTGAAGAGATTAATTTTGGTTGAAAGATTTATTCCTTAATGAACTGCAATGGCTATTTCCAGAGGAGTTTTTCTTTTATCACCACCAGTGAAAGAGGTATACTAGAGACTAAGGATCTGATTTCACTGAATCAAATCAAAAGGAATCTTTGCATTAACTTCAGCAGAGTTTGGATTGGGGCCTTTAAGTCAAGATATGCCTTCAAAATTCACCATTTTTTGCATACAGGGGACATGGCTGAATAATGAAACCTGTGTAATTTCTGTGCATTTAAGAGTGGATCCATGGTTTTTAATAATTACTAAACTTTTTTCCCCCCAGTGTGACAGCAGTGTGACAAAAAGTCAAGGATTTACATGAAGGGGCAGTTTTTTCAAAAACACTAAGGGCACAGACAGACGTTAGAGCCCTGCTCTAACTCATGGTGCTTTATATAAAGTGCCATGAGTTAGAGTGTGCCCTGCCCCTCCCCACTTCCCCTGACCCAACAGGTGTTTGCCTGTTGGGTTGGGGGGAGCGCAGAGCTGGAGCCAGCCTGCACTAACCCAGGCCAGCAGGTAGGCCAGCAGGTAGGAGCATTCCAGCAGCCTTCCATGAAGCTGCCAAGCCACTCCTCTCCCCAGCCCAGCCCTGCCCTGCCCTCCCAGGTCCAGGGAGGGGAAGAGGGGAAGGACCTCCCAGCTACTGAATGGCCAGAACTTGGGATAGGGTGGGAAATGGGGCCCCCTTGCCTTGTCCACCCCCCACCCCCAGTTAGGGTACTGGGGGGGAGCTGGATTTGGCCCAGGAGGCAAAAGGGCTCCATTCCCCCTCCCCCAAATTCTGGCCATTACCGGCTGCTCCCAGCTGCTGAATGGCCAGAGCTGGAGGGAGGGGTGGGGAATAGAGCCCCTTTGCCTTAGAGGCATGACCTGGCTCCCCCCAGTACCCTAGCTGGGGTAGCTGGGGAGGGCCACAAGGCGAGGAGGCCCCATTCCCCCTCCCCACCCCAACAGCTCTAGCCATTCAGCAGCCTGGAGCTCACTTTCTTTTTCCCCTGACAGCCCAGATGGCAGGGCTGGACACCAGCCCAGCCCTGCCCCCCCATGTGAAAAATTAACCCTGGAGGGAATGCAAGTTCCTTAAGGTGTTCAGCTTTTGATTGCCTTAATGTGATACCCGATTTAACCAGGGTTAATTTTTCGTGCAACTGGCCATTTTAAATGCTCTTGGCAGCTAAGCACAAGTATTATGACATGGCTGTAGAGCACTTTCAAGGGCCAGATCACTCTAAAATGTCACTGCTGTCTGCACCCTGAGTTCTTAACAGATTTAATTGTTTATAAGGATTCATTGTTAATGTTTATTGATTTACTTTCAAACATTTTATCTACTATAAATCTGTTTACTTTTTCTTTTAAATTGCTCAGTAACCCATATAACCTTAACATAGGGAAGCTTCATAGAGTTATTATTAATCAGACCAGAGAAAACAGAATGATGTTAAGTAACATATATCCTGACCAGAAGTTGAGGGATATATTACAGTTTAACTTGGGATAAAAATTTCTCTTGAGCTAGTCTATAAACATGGGAGAGGGGGTAAGGAAAATGATTTGCAGCTCCCCCTGCTAATCATTCTTCCAAAGTAAATAACCCTTATACACTTCAAAAATAAATAATTAAATAGTAACTGGCTGCCTTTTTAGCTGCAAATTGAAGAATGAGATTTTTTTTTCTCAAATGCATACACGAACTGAATAAATATGACAAAGAATAGTGGCATGAAATAACAGTGATGCACAGCAAAAGTTCTAAACATTCTTTTGCTTTCTTCAGTACCCATATTGTGAAGCAGACTAGACAGACAGGCACACTAATATATTTATTATTAAAAAACTAAATAGTGCCACATAGGGAAACTGAATAGTGAAACTGCTATCAGGTAACAAGCAGCTACTCAATGACTCATAAAAGTTTCTTTTACATTTATTATTTAGCTGTCACCCTTAATATACTTGATTATTTTCTATAGAATGATTTTGAATCTCGCAGAAATTGTTTGCGAGAGTCTAAAGAAACACTTCAGTGAACTTTTACAAAGCAGCTTTTCTGAATTACAGTCCTGTTCTTCATTCACTCATACATAACTGCCATAAGCAACTATAAAGGAACACTGATCACTTAGAATCTAGGACAACTGAGGCAACCAAACTTGGGCAGACAACAAAATGCTAGGTTAGAGGAATATAAACTCTCCATTTAGCATGATAACTTTTCACTTCTTATGTAATAAGTAACATTGGCAATAAAGTAGGTCAAGTAGTTCAGATCTATTCATCCAGCATCAGTGTACAACCGTAAAATATTCTTTTCTTTGCAGTATATTCTAATTTTAAATGATTTAATACCAAGCTACAGAAAAAGCAGCTTATTAAGCATTCTTCACTAAAAATCAAAATTAGTTTTAAATACTTGCAAAAGATGTTGCTACACAAAATGTTACTTTTGAAACTGTTTAATATAACTTACTATTTCTGATGTCAGTAAAGGCAGTTAAAGATCTTAATTAACATATTATTCATGCCTTAAAAGGCACAGTAATTGAATGTGTTAAGCCAAAGCAGCTTTCAACTAAAAAATAGTTTTTGCTGTTGAGAAACTCAAGTATTATTACTATTTACTATAGTACTAGCAGCGCCAAGAATCTCTGTTGCAGGGTGTGCTGGCTCTTAACAGCATTCAGACTCAACTGTGCTTTGGCCTCTCTTGCTAAGTGATTAATTTAAGTTTGGGTATGGATGTGGCTGGGTCAGGTGCCCAGGAACAGGTGCCAGTGCAAAGACCAGGCTTCCTGTAAGATGGAACCTGCTTTGTCAGGGTAAAGTCCAGAGGCTAGAAAAAGGCGAGGGGGTCCTCTTTAGGGAAGCCCAGCCTGTCACAGTTGTCCTGTTCAGAGGAATCTGAGGAGCAGAGGAAGAGTGCTAGAGGCTAAAGGGTGACTCTGGAGAGAGAAAAGCATGGACGTTGAATAGGGGATGCAAATGGAACAAATGGAAAGAGAAGACCAAGAAGATCTCCATGCCAGCCAGATGGAGAAATCTGGCAGGAAATACCTGCAATGAGGGATAGGAATGAAGATGCAGGAAGAAGAGATCTAAGGAAATTGCAGGCAGAACAAGTGGCAAGCAAAGAGCTGAAGAAACTGTAGAGTAGAGAAAGGATTTTTTTAGTTTAATTTTATATTGAATATTTGAGATCATTAGAAGGGGTATTATTTGACTTGTACGGAATCTGTGGGCAGTTCTGATAATTTTAAGAAATGCAAACTGAGGTGGCAGCTGTGTCCAATGGCAGCACAAGTAAGATTTGACTTCAGATCCTGAATAAGCATCATACAAAATACTTAATAAGAGCCAGCCTCTGCCCCAAAATAATTACAAGCTAAAAGCAACTGGGTAACTGTGACAAAATTTATATTAGAAGCCAGGATTATTGATTTCTTTTAATTAATTCTAATAAAACTGTTTGCGAAATCCTGACACTTAAAACAAACCAGCAGCAACAACAAAAAAAAGACTGAAAAAAAGCAATCCCACCCTTCCAAAACAACAAAAACCCCTCTCTTGCAAAGGGACTGAAATTGGTGAACCTCCAGGGTGATACAGAAGTCTAGATCTAACTTATTTAGGAATTCTAAAATTACAAACCAGCATGAACAGTCACAAAGAAAGCTTGATGCTTAATGATGATTCCTGAAATAGCTCGCAAAACAATTTCAGCAAGCCACATGTCTCTCTCTTTCCTGTTGAATAATGCATGGTTAAAGAGCCAAATACTAACTTCTCAAATGTACAGGGCTGGGTTCAATTATAATATGTTATCAGTTACAATCCAAAAGAACTACAGTTCTTGGTGGGTGATAACATACTTGTGCATTTACAATCTCTAAATGGTCAGGAACTTAAATGGAGCCAAGAAGCTGTCCTTAAAGGCCTAATATTTCAGTCCTAACAAAGACAGAAGAACATTAATTGACTTCAAAATATGCTATTAACACAATAACGCCTACAGGAAGAGGTCTTCAATATACTATTTGTATTGGTTTTATTTAATAGTGATAATACCCTATATACCGTAGAAGTTTAGGTTCCTCAAGATCAAACTGGAGGTGCTCCAAAAATCACAGGTGTGGACTCATGTAAATAGTAAGGGGGAGGTGCTCAATGAATCAGGGAAAATTGTGCATAAATATTTGTGATTATAATTTTTTTTCTGTTTTTTTATTAAAATAGCAGGGGCACTAAATTCATATGTTACTGCCTCCACGTTGCACCAGGGAAAAGAAAACAACAATTTAAATTGTTCTAAGAGATGACTATCAAAGAAATATGGAAAGGCCTTTTTATTTTTTAAATAGATCTCACATTCTTTTATTACAATGACAACATAACCATTTCTAAAATTGTTCTCTTTAAACTAAGAACACAATTTGACCTACATGTTGCAAAACAAACATATAATAGTTTAAAATTTCAAGAGAAATATGATTTCCGGAATTACACTTACCTTTAGAAATATCCCAGTGTACAAAAGAATCAATTAATGATAATCCTTGTTTATAATAAAATGTGGTTAATTCTAGCCAATCTGCATCTAGGGTACTAATAACTGACCCTTTTCTTGTTACTTTCATAGACAAAATTCCTTCATGATATATCCAGCAGGTTGAATCATCATCAAAAACATTGAAGACTGAATATAACTTATCTAGAGAAAAGAAAAAACAATGCTTCAAAAGAACATAATCAACTTAAGAATACTTTTTGGCTAAACATTTTTATTTTTAATGCAATTTTAATATGAAAACTGAAGATTAGAAAAATATTATTTCTTCCTTTTTCAATTTGCTTTTACATTTAGAACAACTTATATATAAATATTTTTATCACTCACCTATATAATCACTCAGCTAGGTAAGTTCTCCATGATGTCTGTGTGGTCTTTCACACAGCAACAGGAGAGAGAAATATAATAATAAGAAAAAAATACCAGAATAGGTAAGTATAAAACCTAAAAAATTGACTTGGGGGATGGTGCCTGAAACTGCTTTAACTTTAAAAAAAATTGTCTAGGTTTCAACTCAATAAAATCAGTTTTAGGGAGTCTGGGGGAAAACCCAAATACCCTGTCTCTGGATACCACAACACAGAGGTTGGTAGTCTGCAAGCACGTGCAGGCATGGGT